CAATTTGACAACGTCGGACTTTTTATGGAACTGCGCGGATACATCTTTAACCAACATTCGCAAGTTATGGCGAGCATATCGGCAGGCGGTCGTTGGAATTATATAGTGCTTCACATATAGTATATATAATATAGATTCAAAAAAGATATTTCATGAACAAATGACTTGAAATGTATGTTATTCATGTTTATTTCCGAAACCGAAAAGTGGATAATAATAAGCGAAATCGACACAAGAGGCGACATCCGCATAGCGTACGGCATAAGCCGAGTCATGATTGGGAAGCGTTGGTTAAGCGTCGAGATTTAATACTCTTCAGTTATAGAAAAAATAACTATTAACGTTTGAAATTTAGTAATTATTGAATTTCAAAATAAAATTGTTGAGAGAAGTAAGAATAGTTTTTTAGTTTTTTTTATGCTAAAAAGAGAGTCTGTGGTATCGAAGGCACTGGAATGAGGATGAAAATGATGACACAATCGGCGAAAGGGTTCCATCGATTTATAATTTGTTTTACATGAAAGTAATAGTAAAAGCTTAGATACACGAGTTGGAAAATTAAAGTTTACCTCAGATATGAGCCATGAAGTACAAATTGGCTCGTTAAGAAGTTTCACTACGAACACTGCGCCTAATAAATATTTCTGTGCGACTTGCGAGGGTAGGTAAATTTGGCAGCTTTAAACGGTACTTCCTCCCTTGATTAGTCGTAGAGCTCCATCGGAAATTTCATAATGCTCTGTGCCTTCCTTGTCAGGAAATGCAATTAAAATAAAAAATGAAGTAAAAATAAATTCTTAATAATTATTATGAAACTCAAAAGCAAAACATTTTTTAGTTGCCACCTGCAATTGTAGGCGGAGAAAAAATCGATTTCGATCACCTTAACGCTTATTTATGTGCATACATATGTATTTGTGTAACTTTGTAAATGTGTGCAATAGCAACCAAACAAATCCATTGATAAGACTTTCCTACTAAATGCGTACTCTCCATAAAAAAAATTTTTCTAAATTAAATTGTCGCATTAAAATAATAACAACAAGCTGAAAATCATGCGACGGAGAGTAGCAAACATATTTAGGCAGAGAATGGATTTTTTTTTTTTTTGAAATGAAAAAGTGATAGTGGAAAAGCCGCGGCAGAGCAGCGAATTATAGCGTGACTTCCACCCTGAAATCAACACATCTATGTACATATGGCATATGTATGTATGTATGTATGTAATTGGCGTTTCGTGTATAAGTCGATATGTATATAATTTAATAGCAGTAATAGGCAATAATAATGATGCCGCTACGGTGCAAGAGCAGAGTGATAAAGATATGTGTGTTTATATCTAATAATTTAAATATATGTACATATGTAGATGTAAGTATGTATGTATGAAAGCTTTTTTGTAAGGGAACAACAGCAGATCAACATATTTAAAACATGTGTATGCACATATCTATCTGCCTGTCTGTCCGCCTGCACAACAAATACATGCATAAATTTGTGCAAAACAACTGCACAGCTCGCAGAGAGACTGGCCGCGTGTACTAAGTCGCACACTTGGTTATTGTCGTCGCGGCCACTGCTGCTGTTGCCTGCGTCAGCGCCGTAGCACATAACCAATGGCTTGGCACAAAGCAGTTGGTGCTGCGACGCGGCATTGAATTGCGCGCGTAGTGTCCAGAAGCACGGAGCTACGTACTTACAAATGTACATACATACATATAATATCAGTAAATATGTGAAGAAATAGTCGAATCCCAGCGTCGCGACGTAGCTTATTATTTACTGCTGTCGCTGCTTCTGCCTTTAATATTTGCCTTTTCAATTTGCTTTTGTTCTCGTCTGCCGCAATTGTCAGTCAGTCTTGAGTAAAGTCGCAAGCCGTTAATTTCGTCGACGGTCTACACCACACATACATACATACAGACAGTAGAAGGGGTCTCCCTTCAATTTCAATAGTTAATGTTACTATGTGAGTGGCTTTGTATTGCAAACAGAAAAAAGAGAGAAATTAAAATCCTTCCATACCTGAGCTCTCTCGTCTTTCAGCCTCTTTCGCGGTCTCCGCGCCGTTCTATGCCACGCTATATTTGTCATTGTTGTCGCGAGAACCGGTCGCGGCTGTTTGCTATCTGCAAGGACAGCTTGTAAAAGTGTTGAGAATTCGCCGGTGAAATAAAATTTTGAAAGAGTGAAGTACACTCTTACGCACAAGAACATGTGTATTTGCTCATAAGTTTAAGTGAATGTGAATTTAATAAATTTAAAAAATCCATTGCTTTTCAAAGCGATTTTCCAATTAAATCTTGTTAAAATGACTTGCTTTGCGTGAAAGAGCAAAGAATTTTGAAATATTTTTTGTTAAATTTAAACGCGTATTGGCAAACAAGAAATAAGAAATTCAAATATTATATATATATACATTATACAAACATATTTATGTTTTCCAAAACAAGAATATTTTTATGGTGATGGCAAAGTCTTGAGTTTATCGCTGTGTTTTCAGTTCGTGTGAGTCTGGCTTTCCGGAAAAAACTCACAATGATTCATACAAACATTCATACATATATTAGTATATATGTATGTCTGTCTGTCGATAAGTGCCAACATATGTTCATGATAAATTCGTCAGTTCGCTTGTGAATGCACCATGTGCAGAGCTCAGCTGATATTTATGTTGCTTTAATTGTTGTTGCTACTTTATCGCCTGTTTTGTGTTTGTGTCCTCAGAATTATACAGTGGCTGCAAACAAAAAAGGAACATTTTGCGTATTAACATACCAAACAACGAGCTAAAACAGGAAACATGATTTGATGCAACGAAGCCTCCGACCTGTCGATGGACTTTTATGAGGAGCTTTTATTTGATGCCAGTAATACAGTAATACACTGAGAGAGCTTAACATTCCTTGCCGAGAAGCGACCGCAATTAGAAAAATTAATTTTCCATAATTTTGGATGAATAGTTGTACGCGAACCCTTCTGAATAGGAGGGCTCGATACTAATCACTTGGCTGCGAACACTGCAAAAGATTTCTAAAGATATCATTACTGCCGAAATATTAAAACCACTGGACTGGATAAAAAATATCAACGTTGAGAGTCATTCAATGTTATGTCAAGTTGGCTGATATATATTTTGAGGGACCAGAGTTAACACCAAGCTATTGCCTATAAACCCAAGGTGTGATATTGAATTGATTGGACAAGTGAAATGTAATGTCCCCTCTCATCGAGAAAACTTATACTCGTCCTGATGTGCTGTGCAGACGCTTCGACAATGACAACATCAAATGGGTTGGCTTTGAAAGTTTTCAATTGAAAGGTTTTGAGTAAGATTTTTAGACTTTTACGTACTAGTAAGGGCTAATACCAAATACAATCGAACATTAAGCTGTATGAGATATACGATGATATGGATATAGAAAAGTTTTTGCGCTGAACAGGTGATGTTGTGCGGATGGATGAACATAATTCAACTTTGTAAACTCCTTTAACATCATCCATCGGAAGGGAAAGGCCTCCGCTCCGGTAGGAAGATCATGTGGAGAAAAACCTGACATCACTTTGAGTTTCTAATTGATGCCAGGACCAACTGGCGAACTATCGTTGATTCGGCTATAATCACATAAGCTGTACCAACGCCTATTAAGAAAAATAAGGCAAAGAACCAATTATTTGACGTCTTTTCAAACTAAAGGCTGTTATCATCCCGGATGCGGTGAACCGGACAAACTAAAATAAAACATATGGTCTTGCGATCTTCTGGCGGAAGAAAATGTTAACGTAACTAAAGCTTCCTTCTGGAAGGGTCTTGTGGATTTCAATTTATCTGCATTCACCTATCAAAATATAGTAGTAGTTTTGGTGAATGTTGCGGGTGTAACAGTACTTGGCCGGATAAAAATCAGGGTCGTTTCGGTATAAAGACTAGACTGTCTCGGGAACTATTGGATTTTAGTCATCTCTTACGACAGACATGGCTTACCAAGAGTAAGAGCCTGCAGCGGCTCAGGCGCAGGCGTCATTTTTAAAGGTCTTTCTTCCTTATTGAAACAGCCGAGCACATTTCTTCACCATCGTTTTTGAAGAAGCAGAGCCCTGAAGAACCGTTGATATCTTTAAAAACGTTCTTTCGGCGTGCCTCCTATTTCACATTGACGTAGTGTTGTTGCTTGCTCTATGATGATGATGATATAATATGTCATTTCTAATTACCTTGGGTCGCGAACTTCTCAGCCGCCTCTCGTATTTTTTCATTGATTTCTCGTATTACTTACATTTCTCCTCTCATTTATTGTTTTTATTGTTTATAAATTCAATTCAAGGCAATAAAAAATACTAGATGGTTTGTATTCCACTATTGGAATTTAGTCAGGTCAAGGAATCACTTAAATCTCTAGTTAGAAAAGCCTGACATCTCTTTATGGGTGAATGATTCCAAGGCCAACCTGAATACCTCTGACATGGGGAAATCATTATTAAGAACTACAAACTACATATTTACACCGCTAACTAAAACTCTACTTTAACGGTTTCGTCATAATTGTAGGTTGCATTCAGCACTACAGTGTACTAAAAAATAAGTGGAACAAAGCACAGGTAACCTTCAGCAATCAACGAATTAAAGCGATAAAGAGCATACAAACGTATAAACCTAAATAGAATTAGAACCCGGTGCCTACCTACCACTTAATTACTAAGGAACAGTAGTTCAAAAGCACATAAACCACGATAAGACAATACGACAAAGTCTAAAATAAATATCAACAGTAGCGAAAAGCAAGCAGCGAGCAGCGAGCAGCGAGCGAGATTATTAATCTCGGCTATAAAAGCGCAAGGCATAGAAGTTGATTGTCTGTTTGGCTCTGCTGAGGTTATTAAGTGCAGATAATACACATTATGTATGTGTATGTATGTTTGAATGTTGATATGTTTGTATGTATGCTCTATATGTATGCATGTACATCATAGATGAGTTCACTTGTAGCCTGAGGCGGAAGTTTTTGCCCTCGCCGGGCTAAGCCGCACACTCATAGAGCGTCTCTGTTCTGGCAGTTCAAGTTTGTACGCGCGGCTGGTCAGCGTTTTATATTATAATAGCATGTGGGCTGGTCGCTACTCGTAGTTATGACTTTTATTTTGGCGCGTGGAAAATAAGCATTGGTAATTAAATTAAATGATACAATCGTGAAGAATCACTGAAGTGTCCAAAGGTAGTGTGTGCGTGCGGGCTTTAATTTCTTTTTTTTTTTTTTTTAATTTTTGCTCAGCAAATGTGAAAGTGACGGTTGCCAGAGAGCGAGCTTATCACGCTGCATCCGACCGTCCATTCAGTAGTGCTTTTATTGAATGAATTTTACTTTCCCATTGGCTCGTCGGCGGGTGGGTTGCTGTCGAAAAGCTGTTGCATTGCTGCTGCATTCGTTGACAATTTCCGTTCCTGACATGCCGTGATATTAAGTTTTTTTTGCGTTTGCGTTCGTTTTCTTTTTTTCTATTCGATCAGCTCAGCTTGAAAGTGGCAATAAATGCAGCTCCATTAACGGCACATGAAGCATTGGAAAAGCAACAAAAACAATAAAAGGCAGACAAAATGGCAAAAACATGAACATAAAGAGTGTGAAAATATTAAAATAAAAAATGCGTTTCGGAGTAAATGGTGGAAATACAATACATGCACATTAGGGCGGTGCGAAGTATTTTGGTTGAAAATAAAAAAACAACAGCTGTTTTTTTTTTAATTTTTTTTTAACGTACTGTGAGAGTTGAATTATATTTTTGGTTAAGATTTTTTAAATCGTTAATAAAAACTTTAATATATTTTTTAAACAAATTTTATTGCAAAAATATTTTAAATTTTATTGCAAAAATATTTTGAATTTTATTCTTCTATAATTTTCGTTAAAGGATCTGCATTAATAGTTAAATATTCAAAAGTGCTTAACATATTTTATGCAATTAAAGAGGCAATAAATATTGTAATTTTTATACCCGGTTACGTGACATTTTAAAGTTAAGAAATAAACTTACCTCTCAAATAACAGTTCTTGTATTTTTGACCGACATGTGAATTTTATATAAAATATAAATATAAGACGAGTGTGGTTTCACACGAATTAAGTCTTTCTTCCATATTTTCAATACTAATGAATAAATAAAAATGAATTCAACTTGACAAAATAAAATCAAATTAAGATCAGTAGAAAAAATTCAATTGTCGGCTGCAATATTCAATTCACAATTTCCTCTAAAGAAATATTAATTAATTTTACTTTGACTGTACAATAGTGAAATTTTGAAAATGGTTGGCAATTTTTTCCAATGAGAAATTTTAATATTTTTTTTGGATCACCCTACAGTACTTGTGTGCCTATAAAGAAAAAAATCAATTTAATTAATAAATGAAAATTCTGCAATGTCGGCGAAAACTTCGAGGCAAACATGACATACATATCCATTACAACAACGTGTTGTCAATTTATTGTAAAGAACGCTCTCAATTTCAACAAACCGATTAATAAAGCAAAAATAAAAACAGAAACGAAATTAACAAAGAAATGATACATATAAACTACTCCAACGAAGTCTATGCGCATAAATATCCAGCTTTAAATTAAATTCCCTCTCTAATTTACAGTTCAATGAAGTGAAATTCCGAAAAAAAAATTATCATTCCTCCACTGCTGTGGTTGCTATCAACAATACATACAAATACATTTGTGTGACTTTAAATAAATAATTAGTACAAACAACCGTAGAAATATTCTAACATTACAAGTTCACAACTGCCGCCTACCAAGGATAAAGGCGGACGATAGCCAACAACCAACCAACCTACATTTAAAACAAAAACTTGGCGCTGGGGACAGCAGTCAATCAACCATGTTTGGCATTAAATATTTAACCGAAGCCCATTTGAAGGGTTTCGATCGATACAAGGTGAGTGGAGTGATTAATTTTTAATATAGTGAATTACTATTCCGCAGTACGTTTTACTTTCATTATAAAAAAATAATGATTTTTATCGACGTGGTGCTTTGGAGTTTTACCTTTTTAATCAAAGTTGCATTTATGCATATGTATTTCTACATATATTTCTGTTTTACATATGAGTAAAAAAACTTTGGATTGACTTTTCAATTCTACTCTCTCCAAAGCAGCACTTGTTGGCAAGAGCAACATTATTGTTGGTGTCGGAGCTTTGGAGGTAGGACGGAAGAGGGAAGGTGATGATTATTAATTCCCTTAAATTTATTCACAGAGCCTTTTGGCTCTTAATGGAGCTCGGGTGTGAACTCCATTGGGAAAAATTAGAGGAGCTGTGGGGTGAGCATCCCTCTTTACACACAATGTATTTATTGGGTGGAGCTCCTATTAAGCAATAACAATTCGTATTTGTTTGTGGCACTTCTCGCTCGAAAAGTCTATTTTGTGAACACGACAGCGATCGTAGTTTTCATCTGAAACATAAAAACGAATACTTTTTTGTAGCTTATGAGTTGCTCTTCTATGTGAACCTAAAATATTCGAAGAAATGTATAAAATTATTTATTTTATGACTGTTTATAAAAAATTTTGCGTATTTCTGAAGAAATTTTAAGATAATTTGTTGAAAAAAGATAATAAACAAATTTTTTATTGTGATTTTTTAGGTTCACATAGAAGCCTACACTATTAGCTGTAAAAAAAGGTATTACTTATGACGACAATTACAACTTTTTTAATCGTGTGCACAAAACAGAAAAACACTGTTTTGAGAAAATCGTGTTCAAAGTTCTCGCCCGCTTATCAGTCTCCTGAGCGCATTGTCTTTCAGAGGCCATTTCTGCGGATCGATTAAGTTTATTGCTCCACTGTTCACCTGAGAATTGATCTTATGTATATATGCATAAGTCCCAAAGTGACAGGAAGCAAAAACTAATGTCCAGAAGAATACAAGGGAAATCGGGCGCGGGATGATCCATGCCTAAACACTTGGTTTTAATACTGGTTCCAAAAAAGGCGAAGCTATCTACAATTTCAAAGTAATGACTGTCAGCAGAGATGATCCGTCTTGTCCTCGTTCCCTATCAGACTCATTCGCTTCGCTTCTTTATCCGGTATGCAGGAAGCAGAACCGAAAACAGCACGGTTGTTGAGTCTCTATTCAGCTCTACAGCTCGTATTATTTTCTCCAGCAATAAATTAAAGAACTGTCACGATAAGGAATCTCCTTGTCTGAAATCTCCTTTAGTATCGAACGTATATTACGTCCGTCTGCTATTTATTGACTTCGAGTCGTTTGCCCTGATAGAGTTTTTGGCGATTAATATTCCGCAACAGATTGTTGGTTCATTTTAAATTCAATTTGGCTGGGGTAAGCCCTCTACTAGCCCTCTTTCAAGTGAGGTGAAAACCCTCAGAGGAGTATAAATTAGTGTTCGTGTGGTGAAAACCCTCAGGGACACTACGTTTGCCGGCAAGTATATCTAGCAACGACTCAAAAGGCTATATATTTTGATCTAGATCAGTCCACCTCCTATGAAAAGAGAATTTAGAGCGATTCGAACCATAAATACAATACTTACCGGAGAGAAGACGAGTCTTTATGTTAATTTAAGCAAAAAGTCATCTTAATAATAATAATAATAATATTTAATAATAAGACTTTTTTGTGCCTGGTACATCCCGAAAGGTTTTCTTTAAAATTTACTCGAATAACAAATAAGCATGTACATACATACATACACTTGTATATTTATTTAAATTTTATTTGAATGATGATTAAAAATGAAATTTTATTTTTCGTTATTCAAATATTAAACTCTCTGATAACGTCCATCCGTGAATCAGAAAATAATTGAGTACGAAAGGTTGTAGTTGCTTACGCATTACTTAATAATAATATTTACAATATTTTGCTATCAATACTATTTGAATGGGAATGGAAATAATTTGTAAAAAAAAAAAACAATTATCAATGCTCTATTTATTACACAATCACGCCACTCAGCTTAGGATTGCCACTAGCTTGAATAGAAAAGTACACATTTATACACATTTGAGGAGCTCTTTCGCGCGTTTCGTTGTAGTTCGTTTTCAATCGTTTTTCAATCATCTCTTTCTTTATTCAATCGCTGCCTTTAAAGAGGTGTTAGGGTACTCTTTAAAGTCAGGGGAAAGTTCAACTGAGGTGAATGGCCTAAATTGCACTCTCTCTTTGCGCGAGAGCCCAAATCCAAAAACCAAGTAGAAATGAGGAAATTTTATGAATTTAATAGGAGTTGTAATCAAGTTATGGTATATACATATGTAGGTAGAGGTGGTATCCCAACCATTTCAACTTCGGATCTAAATAGCATTCTGAGCCTTTAACATGGCCCATTTTGATATACAAGATCTTAATATCCTAATTCTAACTTTGCGCTCAAACCGTTTAATGTTCTCTAAGAAACCACTTACACGTATGTAGTATATCTGTTAATCTCTCAGTAAACTGCTATTCAAGGCTTGGTAACGTTATATATTGTGCTTTGTGTAAGAAAGCTGTAACCTCACAGAGAATTTAAATAACTTTTTCCTTATTGCTTTCTAGTTTGCAGCTGCAGCAACTGCTTGCTCCTCAAAATGCCAATGTCGCGTTATTTGGCTGCAAGTTTTTACACTCTTCATATCTGCTTCGTTATCGACCATTTTTTGAGCTATTTGTTGAAATTGTAATTGTAGCTCCTTTCAGCTCATTGCTGGCTCTCATTGTATTAACTCCGCTTTGGATTCGTCAGCCAAGTGTCACTGGCCAAGTCGTTAGGTTTTTCCTTGCTGAAAATATTCCAAGTGCCAGGAAGTCAAATTATGGAGAGTCTCGTTGATCTGCCAACAGGCTTAAGACCTCTCTACAATAGTTTGCTTCGCTGCAACGTACCATTGGCGACAATGGCGTTGAAGCAGTACCACTCAACTGGCTCTGTGTTTAGTGCCGCCGCTTGGAAGGTGCTAGCTGAGCTACGTAGATGCAATGAAAGATCATTCACGCCCTTAGAGTGTAAGTAATGTGCTTGAAAAGAATTCATAGTATGTTTTTTCACAGCAGAATAGACTCACAACGTGAAACTATAGTCACGAGCATGTAGTCTACATACCCCCCAGGATCTGCGCCACAACACTGCAGCCTATCTTATACTTCACTTAGAATTCTCTTGACGTGTTCTTTACGTCTTTTGGATTCCAGCTCCCTGATCTGTACTACGAAAATCCTCTCAGCTTATATTTGTTTATTTCACGTTGGAAGCTTGTAATTCGCAGTAAAGTATTGTGTCTGATTGCCTGATGAAAATCCTGAGAACGTAATTTTTTCGTATAAGAAATACGCTAGAAGGTATTGAAGTTCCCTGACAACATTTGAGCGCTTACGAATTTGTTTTCTTTACTGCTTTATTTAATTTTCTATATTTATGGCTCACTGGCACTTTAATATATCGGCCATAATTGCAAATCTCTTTTGTTTTCTATAGCAAAAATAACATTTTAATTTGATTACATTTTTAATGGCACAGCGGGTCTCCAAAATGACTTAAATTAAATTGGTTCTATGTACTTTTTTTTAATACCGGCAAATTACTCATACGCCGTGACTACCTTTGATAGTTTCAATTAATTGTAATAGCTGCATTTTGAAACTTGGCAATCTGAATGGCAAAGATTACACAAGTCACACAGTATTACACAAATAAATTTATTTTTAGAAATTTAGAATAAACATATGTGTGTACATATATGTACGAGCGTAAGTGAACTTTGATTTCAATTCCACAACTACATTTGTATATTCATATGTATGTATGACATTACAAAAAAAAAAACTTATCTGTAAATATACTTATTTATAACTACAATGTAACGCTACCTTCAAACATATAAGCCTTTCAGTGCATGGTTGTAGCCGTGGTAGTATGTGTTTGTGTGTGTCTGCACATTGATTAAGGTTGTGGGCTGAGCAGTTGTACAACAATCTTTGAATGATTACAACAATTGACAATTAAATTTAAATTGCAGCAATAGTAAATTTGCATGAATGAAAATACAACAAGCAAATTAGTCGCATCAAAATGTCAAAAGCTGATGGATGAGTGGATTAGTGGGAATAAATAAAAGCATAAAGTTACCACACACACATACACATGCAACATATATTATATGTATGTATATGCATAAATACAAGCTTATGTTTGTGCTTGTGATGCTCGAGTGTAAAAAAATCATAAACTTTAAACTAATAAATGCAGATTGCCACATAAAACGGTAAATTTCTGTTTTTTCCTCACATTTCTCGCTGCCAATTTAATCTCACTCAAGCTTTGTATTGTTTTCAATGAGTACGTGTATGTAAGCTATGAATATATATGGAAATGTATGTACCAACAAATAAATATAGATTTTTACAGCATTTCAACAAATGGGCGTAAGTACACTTGTATGCACATACATGCATACATACATACATATAAATACTCGTATATGTATGAATAGTCAAAGTGATAAGGCTCTTGTGTGATGGCCGCTTGTTTGCACGCTTCAGAAGTGCTTATCAGTAGATCGGCTCATCCGCTTTGCTTGGCAAGTGTCACTGACCACACACATACACACATAGACACACATGTTTATACATAAAATAACACAGGCTCGTAATTAAGCAAATATACTTGAATTTGAGTGTATAACTATAATGTTCAATGGGTGTCACATGCTACACTTCCTCTGAAGCGTGTTTAAGTCGCTTGGGCAGCTCAATAAGCTCGCTGGTAAGACGTTATGTAGTAAATGTGTGATTGAGGCTGTGCGCCAATCGGTATCTTTTTTCATATGGTGAAATGAGGTGGGAAAAATTGTAAAATTTGGTGTGCCAAATGAGGTTGTGAATTTTAACGTAAACAAAATTAGAGCTCGCGAGGAAGTTGCATATA